GCACCGGTTGCAAGGTTTGACACCATCAGATTATTGATTGCACTAGCAGCACAAAAGAAGTGGAAGATACATCAGTTGGATATAAAATCCGCATTTCTCAATCGTGAACTGGAGGAAGATGTTTTTGTTGAACAACCTGAAGGTTTCCAGTCTAGAATCTATCCTGATCATGTATGCAAGCTGAAAAAGGCCTTGTATGGTTTGAAACAGGCGCCAAGAGCTTGGTACAACAAAATAGATGGTTACCTATGCGCTAAAGGATTCAGGAGGAGTGAAAATGAACATACTCTTTATGTGAAGAGTGATGAAAATTCTGATATCTTGATTCTATCCATGTATGTGGATGATTTACTCATCACAGGAAACAGTAAAAAGCAAATTGATTTGTTTGATGATAAGTTGAAGGAAGAATTTGAGATGACAAATCTTGGAGAGATGAAGTATTTTTTGGGCATTGAAGTTGAGCAAACAGAAAATGGTATTTTCATTTCACAAAAGAAATATGCAAGTGATATCTTGAAGAGGTTCAAGATGCAGCAGTGTAAACCAGTTGATACACCAGTTGCGTTGAACACAAAATTATCCAAAGAAGATGGAGACCAGCCAATCAATGAGAAGGAATATAGGAGTCTTGTTGGAAGTTTACTGTACTTGACAGCAACAAGACCAAATTTGATGTTTGCGGCAAGCTTACTTTCTAGATTCATGAGTAAGCCATCACAAACACATTTTGGGGTTGCCAAAAGGGTCCTTAGGTATATCAAAGGAACAATAAATCATGGCATCTATTTTGCTGGAGGAGTTGGCTCAAATTTGATTGGATATTCAGATAGTGATTGGGCAGGTTCCGTGGATGATATGAAGGGCACGAGTGGTTATCTATTTACACTTGGTTCGGGAGCATTCTGTTGGAATACAAAGAAGCAAGAAGTAGTGGCACAATCCACAGCAGAAGCTGAATATATTGTAGCATCATCAGCTGTAAATCATGCCGTTTGGTTGAGGAAAATTCTTAATGATCTTGCGAAAAGTCAAGATAATCCTACAACTATCATGGTGGATAATCAATCACCAATTGTTGTTGCAAAGAATGCAGTTGTTCATGGAAGAACCAAGCATATTAAAGTGAAGTTCCATGCTATCAGACAAGCTGAGAAAGAAGGAGAAGTTCATCTCCAATATTGTCCAGGTGAATCTCAAATTGCAGATATGTTCACTAAAGCATTGCCCAAATCCAGGTTTGAAGACTTAAGATTGAAGATTGGAGTTTTACCCAAAACCTTCAAGGAGGAGAATGTTGATTATTGAAGACTTTTGGTTTTCTCCACATGATGAAATATGAAGAGTGTTAGAGAGGAAGATGAAGAGTGTTGGAGAGGAAGATGAAAAGATGGATGCATTCACCATTATTATTAGTCATTATTATTCTTCGTAATTGTGTGACTCTTAGTAGTCTTATGCTATCCTATAAATAGGTTTGTCATGTACTCAAATCAAATAATAAAAAAAAAAAGTTTCTCTCAAAATATATTTTGTTCTGTTCTTATTACTGAACTGATCCGGTCTTGATAGAATCTATCCTTAATTCCGCTGCATACTAAAATCACAATTAGAACAAACAATTCTTGTAGAGCATTTCTTTCCTCTGGATCATTTCTTGTGACCACCATATAATCTACATATACAATAAAGGCAGTGATCTTTCCTTGTCGCTTCTTCAAAAATAAAGTGTGGTTTGAGTTGCTCTAATGATATCCAAATTTTTTCACGGCATTTGTAAATCGTCCAAACCAAGCTCTTGGAGACTGCTTTAACCCATACAATGCTTTTTTTTGCAATTGTAAAGCTTCAGATTATGTCTTTCTGATATCATGCATCCAAATAGTAGATCCATACAAACTTCTTCAAACAACTCTCCATATAGAAATGCATTTTTCACATCAAATTGTTGCAATGGCTAGTCTAGGTTAGCTACCAGAGATAATAGAACACACACCGTGTTCATCTTGGCTACAGGTGCAGGTGTTTCTATATAGTCGATTCCATAGGTTTGGGTATACCTCTTTGCTATTAATCTTGCTTTAAAGCGTTCAATTATGCCATCAGCTTTGTAATTGATTGTATAAATCCATCGGCATCCAACAGGTTTTTTTCCTAGTGAAAGGTTAACAAGATCCCATGTTTCATTTTCTGTGGAGATTTCATCTCTTCATTCATAGCTGCCTTCCACCTATGATCAGCTAAGGCTTCCTGCACATTGTTAGGAAAAGTTACAGCATATAATTGATTTACAAATGACATATTTGATTCTGATAAACGATGGTTAGATACATAATGGCTCATAGGATATTTGACTTTATTAGATAGTTCAGGTTCATACATGGGTTTAGGGATACCTCTAGTGTGATGTCGGAGTAACTGTCTCTTATGTGTCTCAGGAACATCTTCATCAAATGATTGGTGTAGTATGCTAGAAAGGGTTGGAGCTATATTTTCAAAAGCCTCAGTTTCAGGCTGAGTTATTGGGTGTTCATTACCACTTTGATCCAATATTGTACCACCTATATCCAATTCACTTATCTCTGATTATGACGTGTTTCTGGGTCATTATTATTTTGATCAATTGTTATACCACTTGAATCCGAGTTAACAACATCCTGGCTATCATTTTCACCATAGTCGAGAATTTAAGTTTCCTTGTGGTAGTCGAGAGTTTGAATTTTCTTGTGGTACTCCCCTTGAAATTCAGGCTCAGGAAAGTACGTGGCATCTTTATGGAAAGTAACATCCATCGTGACAAATAATTGATGTGTTGGAGGATGATAACACCGCTTTTTATGTGTGGTATAACCAACAAAAACACATCGTAATGCTTGAGGAGTTAATTTTGTGCATTGATGCTTGTGGAGATGTAGAAATACCACACAACCAGAGACATGAGGTGTTAAATTTGGGACATGTGGGGCGATTACTGCTTTGGTGAGTGTTTGCAATGTTGTTTTGAAATTAAGGGTGCTTGAGGGTACTCGATTGGCTAGATAGGCTGCCGAAGTGAGTGCTTCTCCCCAGTAAGATAATGGCATATAAGCATGAATTAACAAAGCTCGGACAACTTCCAGGAAGTGTCAATTTTTTCGTTCCGCTACCTATTTTGTTGGGGTGTGTTAGGACAAGTTGTATGATGAATCATTCCTTGGGCTTCCAAAAAATTTTGAAGTTCAATACTATGATATTTCCCACCATTATCACTACGAATAACTTGAATCTTTGATTTGAACTGAGTTTCAACCATTTTATGATACTTTTGGAATAATGAATTCACTTTACTTTTGGATTTCATCATGGACTCCCATGACATCCTGGTACAATCATCAATAAACATTAAAAACCAATGTGATCTACCCAAAGTAGTAGCTTTAGATGGGCCCCAGACATCAGAATGCATAAGCATAAAAGAAAGTGAACTTTTATTCAATTGCAATGGAAATGAAGTAAGACGACTCTTTGGAAATTCACAAACATCACACTAAAAACTAGACATGAACTTTTGCACATAAACTGGGAAATAATTTTTTTAGATATCCAAATGAAGTATGTCCTAGACAACAATGCGATCACCTGATTTTTGCTATTTGTTTGTCACCATCAACTTTTCCTACTGTCAAAGCTTGTTGAAGGTGTGTGGTGCTTTGTGATTCCAAGTCCAAGTAATATAACTTTCCCCGCCTAATACCACAACCAATCGTCTTCCTAGTGTTGATGTCCTCAAACACACAAGAGTCCAGCAAAAAAATTACAACACAAGACAAGGTAGATGTTATTCGAGAAACAGAGAAAAGATTATAATCTAAAGATGGAACAACTAAAACAAAATCAAAATTCAAGGTATTAGTTAAAGTTATAGATCCTTCCCCAATGATTGGGGTTGAAGTGCCATTTGCAGTAGAAACAAAATTTTGGTTGGAGGAATTAAGTGGTGAGACCGGTCTAAAATCAAATGGCATGTGATCTGTGGAACCAGAATCAATTATCCATGTACTATGCAAAACAGGTGTAGAAGTATTTAAAGCCTTACCATCATTATTTGAATTTATTACCAACGCCAAGGCTTGTTTAGTGACTACATCTTCAGTCTTCTGCAAGGGGTCTTTCTTCCCATGAATGTAGGATAATTTTTCTCTTTCAGTAGTGTGCATCTCCATGATCTCAGACCAAATATCATAGTTTGATTCTGTAAGAATGATCCCTGCATTGAACACATTTTCTGATTGAACAATTATAGGAACGGATTTGTTTCTGAAGATGCACTACTTTCATTCATGATTGCTGAATGGAAGAGGTAGGGATTGGTTTTCTGGCCTTTTTGGATGGGTTCAAGGATTACAGGTTTGAAAATTTTCTGAAACCAGGAACAAAATCAACGGAAACAAAATCAATTTTGAAGCTCTGATACCATCTTGAATGATGATGAAAGATATTTTTCATTCATGCATTTGCCTATAAACCAATCCAAATTATATAGGATTTACATAGCAAATCATTCCTCTCTAATAAGCTAGTCATTCCTAAAATAAAATAAGAAAGAATTATATAAAGAATCATACAATGATTTACAGCTAATATTAAGGTAATTTAACAAATCGAACACAATCCCACCAATGAAATGAAAGAGATAAAATGATCCAATCACATATTCATGGAGTTGCTGATTAAGCTTCTTGTTCAACTCTTATGCGTTACTATTATTAAACCATCATCTTATCTAAAAGTTTAAGATATAAGAGGAGGACATACTTATTTGTTCGATGTTATTTTTTTGACAAAAATCCGACTGATGATCTGGCATAAAAAGATTGCACGGCCCGCCGTTTAGGTGATCCCAATTCAGAAACTGACAAAAAGCAAACTGATAACATTACTTGGGATAAGGTTTCAAATAAAATAGTGTCCAGGTTCAATGTACATGTCAACAATTAACATAGTATAACATGCGCACCAACTTTTCAATGTCACCTCAATTGAGATACTCAAACTATCTTCCAACAATTCAGCCATGGGAGAAGTGGATCCTGCTTTCATCCAAGCCCTTGAACATCAGCCTAAACTTGACATAACTGAAGCAGAAGGCATCCCGTTAATCGATCTTTCCCCGCTGAATTCCTCTAATACAGATGCTGACTTGTCAAATCTAGTAGCTGAGATAGGTGATGCTTGCAAGAACTGGGGGTTTTTCCAGGTGATCAACCATGGCGTGCCGTCGAAGTGTCGTGAAAAGATTGAATCAGTGGCGAGGAAATTCTTTGCTTTATCGAAAGAGGAGAAGAAGAAAGTCAGTAAAGATCAAGACAACCCTTTGGGATATTACGATACTGAGCTTACTAAAAATGTCAGGGACTGGAGAGAAGTGTTCGATTTTACTTTAATGAATCAGGTCATTATACCGGCTTCTCCAGAGCCTGAGGATAAGGAACTTAAACAGTTGATTAATCAGTGGCCTGAATACCCCCCTGAATTAAGGTACCTTTAGATTGATGGGAATGATGTATAGTAGCTATTTCAACATTTTTAGCCTAATTTCGAGATTGACAAACCATTATATGCTTGAACATATAAAAAAATCAATTGCAAATTTTTCTGATTGTTTTAACTTTTAGATAAGGCCCCATTCAATATATAAGGTTATTGTCTGGGAGGTTCCAAGTTGGAGAGACAAAAATGAAAAAAAGTCATTTTTTCCAGAAATCACAACTATTCTTAACAATCAGATATATAGCCCAGGAAAGGTATTATAACTCTGGTATCATAATTTGTGCGTGTTTAAACTTTAAGTGAATCGCCTCTTTGCAGGGACGCATGTGAAGAGTATGCTGCAGAGATGGAAAAACAGGCTTACAAGTTACTCGAACTCATTGCCCTGAGCTTAGGCTTGCCAAAAACTCGATTGAATGGCTTCTTTAAGGATAACAATAGCTATGCCAGGCTCAATCACTATCAGCCATGCCACGTTCCTCATTTAGTGCTCGGTCTTGGTCGACACAAAGATGGTGGAGCCGTGACCATCCTTGCTCAAGATGATGTTGGAGGACTTGAAGTGAAGAGGAAAACAGATGGAGAGTGGGTTCTTGTCAAACCTACCCCTAATGCTTTTATCGTCAATGTTGGTGACGTTATCCAGGTATCACATCTGTATTTTGAAATATGGTTTTTGTTGCAGTTGTTATTTCACTTAATCCCATTATATGTTTCTCCCTGTATGGTAATGTATTAAGGATAATGTTGAAGCGAAAATCTTCGTAATGATCATTGTCCATAGACAAGAAATGAAAAGGGCTTGCACAAAATATAGATTTCGAAATTTCTTCAGGACCAAGTTGGTGAGACACTAATTAAAAAAAAAAAAAAAAATTCACTCTACTACATGTTCAAAAATTCTGTACAGATATGTCGACAGACAAATGCATGCCATGTGTCAACCTACTAGTACAAAATCATTTGTATAGGTTGACAAAATCATCTGTACAGGTATATTAATTGATCAAAAATCTCTACTGCACTCCCTTCACCTTCCCCACTGAAATTCAAATCAAGGAAGGGAGAAATGCATGCCATGTGTCAACCTACTTGTACAAAATCATTTTATAGGTTGAGAAAATCATCTGTACAAGCAGATTAATTGATCAAAAATCTCTACTGCACTCCCTCTACTTTCCCTTGTAGTGGAGACGTCGGTGGTTCTGGCATTTGTTGGGTTGTTTCAGATTGGGGTGGAGTGGTGTTGAATGAGTTCTTGTTTAATGGTTGCCTAATGTAATTTATAACATGGATATTTTAAACAGGTTTGGAGTAATGATAAGTACGAAAGTGTAGAGCACCGAGTGATGGTCAATTCTGAAAGGGAAAGATTCTCATTTCCATTCTTCTTCTGTCCTGCACATTCTACTTGGGTGGAACCCGTGGAGGAGCTGATAAACAAAGATAATCCTGCCAAATACAAGGCTTATAACTGGGGAAAGTTTTATGCGAATAGAAGGCGTAGTAATATCAAGAAACTTGGTGTCGAAAACATTCAAATTTATCATTTCAGGATTTAGAATTCAGAGCAGTTGTGTCCGTATCCCATATGAATAATGTGAGTTCTTACAAACCTACAGCTTTGGCTTCTTGAGTAAGCTTATTTTCTGTGAATAAATAAAATTTTCAGAAACTTCAGACATAAATTCAATAGGATGTTCTTCTAGGCACTCCGATTATCATGGCTCTTGCCAGTAGCATGAAAATAGGATTCTATAGAATTCGTACCACTATGCAATTGTGCTGCTTATTCAACTTGTAGATGCTCTTTATGAAAGAAAAAATGTTTCCGTACTAAATCCCCTGTTAAAAATTGAGAAGCTCTCTTAATAAAGACTTACATGGACAAAGAAAAAGAAAAATAACTGCATTATTTAGAACTCTCCTTTTCTTTTCCAACAGCTTCAGCTAAAAGCCTATGTTCCTTTACTTTCGGATGGAACAGAGGAGACCAACACAAAAATAAAATGTATTGAAGAATCAACAGTGGGAATGATGGAAGAAAGGGGGAGGAGGTAGGGACAGCTGTTACTTGAAATTCCTTTGTCTATGAATGGAAATTTTTCCAAAAATTGAAGAATTAATTGTTAAAGCCTCTGTTGCAATAACTGTAAAGAGCTGTTGTAGTAGTTACAATGATTTGTTATGGCATCAATTATAAGAAGTGGAAGGGTTTCGGAGGGAGGAAACTTCTTTGAAAATGAGACTAATTCTTTGAATTTTATCGAGTGGAATCCAAAACTCTTCAAACTCATTGGTTTTGGAAATTTTTTGAAAGTAACGTGCTAGTTTGACTTATCATGCATGGTTACTTTTAATGAAGTTAAATTACTCAAAATCTATTCTAAACCAAAAAAATGATAGAATACTATTCAGTAAAAAACCTGGATGAGCCCCAAACTTCACACTCTGTGCAAAAAATTTGTTAGTCCTTTAACTTGCTCATAGTTACGGTGTCTGTTAAGGGAATAAATTCCACATCGGTCAAATACCGAAATATTGACCAATTTAAATAGATCTTGAATCACTCCTCTTAATAAAGTTGACCTTATTAAGATGGACCCCAAATTTTGACATGGTATCAGAGCCCAGTAAATTTCAACGAGCTATTCGATCCTGGTAAGTCTCAAAAATGAGCACATGGATTTCAAGATTGGTCTGCTCAAAAAGAGCCACCATCTTGCGGGGGCATGTTAAGAGAATAAATTTCACATCGGTTAAATACCGAAATATTGACCAACTTAAATAAATTTTGGGTCACTCCTCTTAATAAGGTTGGCCTTATTAAGATGGACCTCAAATCTTAACATGATATCAGAGCCCAATAAACTCCAACGAGCTATTCGATCCGATTAAGTTTAAAAAATGAGCATACGGATTTCAAGATTGGTCTGCTCAAAAAGAGCCACCATCTTGCGAGGACATGTTAAAGGAATAAATCTCATATCGGTTAAATACTGAAATATTGACCAACTTAAATAGATCTTGGACCACTCCTCTTAATAAGGTTGACCTTATTTAGATGGATCCCAAATCTTGATATGATATCAGAGCCCAGTAAGCTCCAACGAGCTATTCGATCCGATTAAGTCTCAAAAATGAGTACACGAATTTTAAGATTGATCTGCTAAAAAAGAGTTACCATCTTGCGGGGGCATGTTAAAGGAATAAATCTCACATCGGTATACCGAAATATTGACCAAATTAGATAGATCTTGAGTCACTCCTCATAATAAGGTTGACCTTATTAAGATGGACCCCAAATCTTAACAGTATCTGCCCATATAGCAAGATTGGACACTGTCAACCATGTGAGTGAATGTACATGTTGGGGGAGTTAAGGTTTTCCGTTGACAAATATGGATAGTAAGTCGAGTCTTCATATTATCTACAAATGCAAGGTAAGACATGAGTATATCCTACATTGGATGGACGAACATAATCCCCAAGATGAAGTGAAATAGATAAAATGATCTGAAAAAATGGTAATGATGACCAAGCCAATTGAGTTTCTTGTTAAACTTCTAGACATTGCTAACAAGTATTCTTTATTTTTGGCCTGCACATATAGCTTTCTGGAGGACATGTATAAGTAATTTTCCTGGTATTTTGCAGGATTTATTGACAAGGAGTTTGAAATCCCTTCAAGCATCAGCTTAATAAAAGACATAATTTTCTTTATCTATCTGTATGGTTGGCATTGTTATTACTGTCTCAGTGTATCAAAGATTAGCATAATTTCGTAATGACTATCTAAGTCAAATTTAAACTGGCTGCAATCCAAACAAAAGATACGTTTTTATTTCGTGGCTAAAGCCTCTCTAGGGTTCGCGTGGGCTTTTAATCCTCGCACCCAAACTTTCGTGGGGGGGTTTGGTGATCCAAGGTTTAAGTACAGTTTTGGACGCTGGATTATATGCAATAAACATTATTTAAAATAAACAATGCTGGTTAGGTGATCCAACGCAAGCTGACAAATTACTTGGGATGGGTTCAAAAATAACATATTGTATCCAAGTTCAATGTGTATATATTGTATTACCATCAATATATATGATCAAGTGCACTAATTTTTGACAGTCACCTTAAAAGAGGTACTATCAAACTATCTTTAAACAACTCAGCCATGGGAGAAGTGGATCATGCATTCATCCAAACCCTTGAACACCAGCCTAAACTTGACATCACTGAAGCCAAAGGCGTCCCATTAATCGATCTTTCTCCATTAAATTCCTCTGATACTGACGCTGACATTTCAAGTTTAGTAGCTGAGATAAGGGATGCTGTCAACACTCTGGGATATTATGATACTGAGCATACTAAAAATGTCAGGGACTGGAAAGAAGTGTTTGATCTAACAGTAAAGAAACCAACTATTGTACCGGCTTCTTACGAATCTGATGAAAAGGAGCTAAACCATTTGATGAATCAGTGGCCTGAAAATCTTCCAGAATTAAACTAAGTTTGGTTTAGATTGAATCAGAATAGGAAGTTTCATTTCCAACCACGTCTATGTTGAGAATCTACTTTACATGCGCAGCGGAAAATTAAAACAAATTTCGATTCCCACTAGAAATCTTTTTGTGTTTAGATAGAAATTGTGAAAAGATTGTATCTTTTTCAGATCTGCAAACTTCTTTGCTATTCTTTTCGTTCCAGCAATCTTGATTCGTCACTCACAACTGTCCAATTGTCCAGTCTCTAACGGTGATCCACACAGAGAATAAGATTGTAAGATTAAGATTTTCTTCTTGTGCTAGCAAGAATAATGAAAAATCACTACAATTTTGAAAATCCTAATCATATTTATATAAGCCAAAACGGGTTTAGCCTGACCCGATCCAATATTTAATTAACCCATTTAATTAAATCTGGTCCGTAAATTAATTAATCCAATTAATCAATTCAATCCTATAAATAAGCAACCAAATTAATTAATTTATCCAACATTTGTTAAATTAATTAATTGACAAATCACAATCTTCTAGTTCTCCTTTTGTGTACGACCCATCAGGTTCCCGATCACGATGCCTAACGAAGTGAAATATTATTTTGATCTAATCAAAATTAATAAATTAAAACACCCTTTTAATTTATCACCAATCACACTCGCCGTCCCAAATTGACATCTAGCAATGTGTCAGGGCAATACATGTGACGAGAAATATCACGTGGTCTGACAAAATCAAATTCGTTCGTTTACCGTGAAACTATAATCCATTCATCAATATGATCCGATCAATTACGAGATATAGAAGTGTGTTAATCCCGATTATTGATCATATCCTTCACTCCACTATTAAGTCAATATAAGTCGATAACTTCTTTTCGACTTATGAGTACACCTTAACCAAGAATTTCGTTATCAACTTAATTAAATGAAACGCAGATCATAATCTCTTACTATCTAAGAGTGACGAATCATCTATTGGTCATTCACAACCTTCATATGATTTTTGACATACCCGAACGATGTCGTATTAGCGGCCCTTGGTAGAGCAACATCCAACACTGTCAAAGCATGACCGTCCTCATATAAGGTACTATGACGACCTCAAGTCAAAAGGACCAATCCCACTACCAAACATTAGAGATTAACCACTGATACTCAGATAGTTATCCATGTGGAATCTCTTGGCAAGTCTCCAATGTTTTGTTCTATAACAACACCAACATGTTCATTTAAGTGTCACTACACTTTAGCTTGTGAGATCAGTTACTTACTTCACAATTAAGAAATGCCACACGTGATGGTCTATCCGTAATAACGATATTCGTATTTCGTTATTATTTACGACCACAGACGATTTAAGATTCAATCATATGTAATTTGTATCTCACAATCACAACTCCTTGTGATTAACAAATTATGAAGATTTGAATCTACGGACTCTATTATTTAATTTAATTGTCTATCAATTAAATAATAGATCTGCCATTAATTTGCATTAATTATATATCAAAAGTATCTATATCTAAGGTTGATTGGATTTAGAGCATAACACTTACAGTCTATTCCTTTCTATTGATACAATTTTAAAACAAATTTACGTTGCTTGATCATTCAAGACCATAAATTTCGCAGCTTAACAATCCAAAACTTATAGGAGAGGAAGATGCAGTTAGGAGCATGCATTTAACCGTCGAGCTCAACTGTTGTTTCGGAGCCCTGACACTGTTCTGCCCCTTCGAGTGGCATTTCACCCCTAACCACAACTCATACGCTGATTCTTCAACATCAATCGGTTCGGACCAAAGAATCGATCTTTCTTTTAATTGTTGAATCTCTCTTTGATTGATCAATGTGTGATATTTTGAATCCTCATTACTAATGGAATCCAGACCATGGAAAGGTAACATAATGTATGTGTTTAAATGAACTGCTTCTTGCAGGGAGGCTTGTGAAGAGCATGCTGAAGAAATGGTAAAACTAGCGTACAAGTTACTTGAGGCTTAATCGCTATCCGCCATGCCCTGCTCCTCATTTAGTGCTCGGTGTTGGTAGACACAAGGACCCCATTGCTTTGACCATCCTTGCTCAAGATGAGGTTGGAGGACTTGAAGTGAAGAGGAAGATTGATGGAGAGTAGATTCTTGTCAAACCTACTCCTAATGCTTATATCATCAATGTTGCTGACATGATACAGGTACAAATTTGATACTTGTTGGTGTTGAATGAGATTTCTTTTTCTGATATGATTGCCTTATGTCACTTGTTACTTGAATATTTATACAGGTTTGGAGCAGTGATAATTATGAAACTGTGGAACATAGAGTGATGGTCAATTCTGAGAAGTAAAATTTTCAATTCCTTTCTTCCTGAATCCCCCAAGTTCCACTTTGGTGGAACCCCTGGAAAAGCTGACAAACAAGCAAAACCCAGCCAAGTAAAAGCTTTATAACTTGGGAGAGTTTTTGGCAAAAAGAGCATGCAGTGACTGTTTTTGATGTTGAAACGATTTTTCTTTATCCATGGGCAATGAGTTTCGATGTATTGGGTGTATATGTATTTATAGAAGCTTTAATTTCCGTGCTTATCTTAATTGTTGGTTTAGTTTATGCATGGTGAAAGGGGGCATTGGAATGGTCTTAGCTCCTGAATATTCAGACAATAAAAAGAAAAGGGAAAAAAATTTGAAAAAGTTATGAATTCCATTGCGTTTCCTTTACTTGATCAAACAGTCCAAAATCGAGAATCTTG